GCATTATACGGGGGGATAATATGACTCGCACGGTCAAGGGAGGAGCTAGGTTCTGCCGACTGAAATCTAGCCAACGTAACCCTCTTCTAAAAAGAAGGATAGAACCTCACGTACCAGGTTTAGACCAGTTAATCTCACATGAATTTAGTGCAAACTTGGGAAGACAATAAGCAAAACGCTACTGATAAGGCATATTGGGGAAAACAATACTCTAAGTGCGCATCAACATATATAAGGGAGTGGTCGATACTGCCTGACTAACTTGCTAACATCCATGGGCAGTCAGACGAATTCACTAGAAATAGGGTTGCCGGTTCACGCAATGTATATTGACTTCTTTGAGGCCTTTGACACATGGACGGCTGATTTCAAGGCTGTATCAGATGGGTGTGACTGACCATCTTCCCAACGTATAAGCCGAATTTATTACAGGCAGACGCAATCGTTTTTTTATTGCGAGTGCGAAATCTGAACGGAAAATCGTTCACAGTGGGGTACCGCTGGGGTCGTTCTGTGTCCAATGCTGTTTCTGATATAGGTAAACGACTTCCTTGATGGTCCGGCCTGTGAGCAAATAATGTTGGCTGATAATTTTAATTTATGGAATTAAATTTGAAGTTTGGAGGTGCGCAGACCTTACAAATAACTTGGATCACTTGCAGTAAGGTGTACTGTGTGGTTACTGAATCTCGATGTCAACAAATACCATGTCAACCAACCATGTCCGAACTACAGAAAGTTTATACGATTTCAAGATGAATACTGCATGGAAGGTCATGTACTGTAGCAAGCAAAGGAACGAAAGGATCTGGGTGTGTGCATGGCGCCTATTTTCAAACCATCAAATATGGCTATGGCCTGCTTATGAGCGATTGGGAGATCTTCCTCTATTTTGACGAGGTGCTTTTTGGTCGCTTGTTTGGAATATTTAACCGACCGGTGTTAGAATACTGATTTCAGGCGTGATGTCCCGGCATGTGAAAAGGTTACACCCCACTGATGAGAGTTAAACGAATGACGAACAAACTAGTCCGTGGGTTAGAGGGTCTTCCTTATGAGGGTCTACTAGAAGGACATAAAAATGTTCTTCTCTCTTATAGGCGAAGCAGGGGGCGGATATGATCTTGGGCTTCAGAAATGCAGTCTGTGCTCCACAGGTGGCTGGCTTTTTTGCAATTAGCAAGAACGCCGAACTCGAATTGTGGGCCAACTTATTTTCTCGTTCGGAGAGCGAAGTCTAGAACAAATCACGCCGACGTTTGTTCTTGCTGAAACCTTTGAAGAATTTAAGAAAAGACTAGTCAACATTTTACTTGATCGCCATATATTTGGTAGGCATAAAGGATTGATATAATGTGTCCGCATCATTCTTTAGCCCATGCATTATTTGATAGAATAT